CCTGTCATTAATCTCATGAGGGGGACATTGATGCTGGGGATTTTACAGTCTTTTTCCGTCTCTCCCCCTAAAAACAAGCAAAACAACTACTCCCTCTTCCCGCCTCCAACACCTCTGCCTCTCTGGCAGCTTCCTCACCACTCTGGTGCCACAACCAGGCCTACTGTCAGGGCCCCCAGTGGACTTCCCCACTGCCATGCTCCTCTGCACCTGCCTGGTGGGGGCAGGGGATTCTGTGCTGCGCTGACTCAACAGCCCTGAACACCTGGCCTGGGCTGCCACTTCGTTATGTGGTCCCCGGGGCTGCCCTGAGACCCCGAGGATGCAGCCCAAAGGAGGTGTGTGACCACCCGTGAAGGTTTGCTTTGTACCCAGCAAAACCTTCCAAAGAAGAGTGCACCCCTGGTGCCTGCCAGGAGTTCAGAGCCTGTACCTGTTTCCTTCAGATCTGCCGTAGCACAGACATGGGTAGAGAAAGCTTTTCCTTGGCTGGCAGTGTGGACTACAGAACGAGCCCTCCAAGAACCAGAGATAAAAACAGAAAGTCTGGCTCTTCTGTGGAACAGCACACGCGGCGGGAAGAGAGACGGGCTGCAGACCCCTCCCACTGTTTTGGGAAAGCAGCACCTTACTTGTGGATTTGTCAGGGAAGGTGGTGCTGAAAGGACACCGGGACAAGGATTTTGTCAAAGTGTCTGCAAAGCCACGGGTTCAGGGAAGTCACTGCCCAGGGGTGTGGGGGGCTGGGTATTGTACAGGTAAGCAACGAGCCCAGGCACCAGGTACCAGGCACCCGTCCCCAACATTAGCCAGGGAAGCTCTGCTCTCATCGGTGTTAGAGTCTGTGAAGCTGTGACTTCATGGGGCTGGACCAACGCCTTACTTCTCAGGCAGGGTCGTCCGATCCGCTTCCTCTCGCTTTGTTCTGCAAGCTTCGTGCTGCTGACCGCTTCCAAGCTGACTGTGTCTCCTCCGAGCACTTTATGTTGCCTGCCTTCCGTGTGTCACTAGGAAATCACCTGTCAGTCAAATCGCTGTCCCTTGGTTGGTGATCTTGGTTCTTTTTCAATTTTTAAAAAAGATTTATTTGTTTGAAATCAAGGCAGAGTGACAGAGGGAAAAGGAGAGACAGAGCAAGAGATTGAGCTTCCATCTGCTGAAGTTCAGTCCCCAGATGGCTGTAATGGCCAAGGCTGGGCTGAAGCCAGGAGCCAGGAACTCCATCTGGGTTTCCCTCGTGGGTGGCAGGGGCGCATCTTCAGCTGCCTTCCCAGGAACATTAGCAGGGTGCTGGATCAGAAGTGGAGTGCTCTGAAATTGGATGCTGGCCAGCTGAACCCACGGCGCCACAGCACTGGCCCCAGTGTTTGTTCTTCGTATCTGCAAGATCATTCCTGCTCATTTCTGTCTGGCTGCTTTTAAAATATTCTCTTCAACGCTGGTATTCTACCACTTCACTGCAATATATCCTCATGTATGCTTTATTCATTTATCCTGATTGGGATATATTGTGTTTCCTGAAATTATTAATTTACTTGTTTTATCCATTCTGGAAAATTCTTATGCATTCCATATTTAAATACTGTCCCTTCCACTTCCTCCTTTGAAATTTTGATGATCTGCATGTTAGACCTACTCGTTCCCCTATCTGTATTTTATTTCTCTTTTTTAGGTTCTGCTTCCTTGTCTCTTTGTGTTTCTTTCTTACTTCTTTCTTCAATTCCACTTTCTGCTTTATTCACTATCTTTTTATCTGTGATTAAGCTAATATTTAATTTTCTTACATTGAGCATTTTGTTTCAATAATTATGTTTCACTTCTAAAACTATTTGTTCTCTTTCAAATCTGCCAGATCATTTCTGATCATATCTCTTTGACCATTTTTTTTAAAGATTTATTTATTTATTTGAAAGGCAGACTTACAGAGAAACAGAGGCAGAGAGAGAGAGAGGGAGAGAGAAGAGATCCTCCATCTACTGGCTCACTCTCCAAATGGCTGCAATGGCCGGAGCTGAGCCAATCTGAATCCAGGAGCTTCTTCCAGGTCTCCCACGCAGGTGCAGGGGCCCAAGGATGTGGGCCATCTGCTGCTGCTTTCCCAGGCCATAGCAGAGAGCTGGATCAGAAGGGGAGCAGCTGGGACTCGAACCGGCACCCATATGGGATGCCGGAACTGCAGACTGCAGCTTAACTCACTGCACCACAGCACTGGCCCTGACCAACTATTTTCTTAAAAAAACAACATTTCTTACACTATTATTGTTTGTTTGTATCTGGAAATTCCAAATTCCTATATCCCTAAAGCTGTAAATCTGCCTGTTGTCTTTCCTGCTGATTTTCACTTCCCCCTCCTAGTGTGTTTTATGGTCTTGGATTATGAGCTCCTCTTTGCTTCATTTCAAACTGTGCTGGTCCTGAGAGCCTACTGGGAGGGACTCTCCTCCAGGGAGCTGGGACAGCTGCCCGAACTGGGCCCCGCAACGTTGCCTACGTCCCTCCCTGGAAGGGACCAATGCTTGCCGCCTTCCAGGTGGGACGTGAATGTCTCAGGCTCAGCCGCCTCGGTGCTCCCGCTCCAAGCCTTGGTCTTGTGATGGACCGCCTGGGTGGCGTTTGTCCTGCAGGCTGCCCCCGGTTCCTGTGTGTGCTCGCCTCTCGCTGTTTCCAGCTCTGGTTTCAGCTCACGGTTTTGTTTTAGTAGGCCAAGGTGTGGGGAAGAGGGCAGCCTAAGGGGTCCAAAGAGATTTCTCTTACACCTTGCAGTGTTCACAAGGCATGAAGTCGTGGGCTGTGCCCAGGGCCTGCCTGGCTGCCACTGAGTGGGTTGACCCTTACTACAGCGTAGTCTGCTGTATGCTGGAGGGGGACCTCATTCAGTTCAAAGACACCTTCTGAAGGGTCCCCAGTGCTGCTGCTTTTGACCTGCTGCCTCCAGGCTTCAAGTGTTGCCCTCATGTTCTTTAAGAGATCTGGCAGGCATACTACCTCAAGACAGCCAGGGATGAGAGACCAGCCACGCTTTGTCTTCCCAGAGAGCATTTTGGGATTTTTTTTCCCAGGGGAGATTGTGGCCTGGCTCTTCCTGATCCTGTTCATCTCTGTCCATTCTTCCTTTACCCCCTCACATGTTGATAAAAAAAGTCTTTACTTTTGTGACAGAGCCAACACCTTATCTTTATTCTTTTTTTAAGATTTATTTATTTATTTATTTATTTGAAAGAGAGAGAAGGAGAGGCAGAGAGAGAGAGAGAGAGGTCTTCCATCCGCTGGTTCACTCCCCAGTTGGCTGCAACGGCCAGAGCTGCACTGATCAGGAGCCAGGAGCTGCTTCCAGGTCTCTCACGTGGGTGCAGGGGTCCAAGGACTTGGCCCATTTTCTGCTGCTTTCCCAGCCCATAGCAGGGAGCTGAATTGGAAGTGGAGCAGCAGGGATTCAAACCGGCACCCACAGAGGATGCTGGCCCTGCAGGCAGCAGCTTTTCCTGCTATGCCACAGTGCCGGCCCCAACACCTTATCTTTAAAGAGTGCTTTAGAGGCCGGCGCTGCGGCTCACTTGGCTAATCCTCTGCCTGCGGCGCCAGCACCCTGGGTTCTAGTCCCGGTTGGGGCGCCGGATTCTGTTCCGGTTGCCCCTCTTCCAGGCCAGCTCTCTGCTATGGCCCAGGAGTGCAGTGGAGGATGGCCCAAGTGCTTGGGCCCTGCACCCGCATGGGAGGCCAGGAGAAGCACCTGGCTCCTGCCTTCTGATCTGCGCAGCACGCCGGCCATAGCAGCCATTTGGGGGGTGAGCCAATGGAAAAAGGAAGAAGACATTTCTCTCTCTCTCTCTCTCTCTCTCTCTCTCTGTCTAACTCTGCCTGTCAAAAAAAAAAGAGTGCTTTAGAGTTTGCAAAATACTTAGACATGCAGTTCCCCCCCCCCAACACACGCCCCACCTCTGATCTCAGCAGCTTCCAGGCAAAGCATCCCTGTCCTCATTTCAGAAGATACTGAAGGCTGGCGTCGCGGCTCACTAGGCTAATCCTCCGCCTTGCGGCGCCGGCACACCAGGTTCTAGTCCTGGTCGGGGTGCCGGATTCTGTCCCGGTTGCCCCTCTTCCAGGCCAGCTCTCTGCTGTGGCCAGGGAGTGCAGTGGAGGATGGCCCAAGTGCTCGGGCCCTGCACCCCATGGGAGACCAGGAGAAGCACCTGGCTCCTGCCATCAGATCAGCGCAGTGTGCCGGCCGCGGAGGCCACTGGAGGGTGAACCAACGGCAAAGGAAGACCTTTCTCTCTGTCTCTCTCTCTCACTGTCCACTCTGCCTGTCAAAAAAAAAAAAAAAGATACTGAAGACCGTGGAGGCCGCCTGACTTGCTCAGGGACCTAAAGTGTGTGCATCAGAACTTCCACACGCACCTCCTCACTCCCAAGCCGTTGCTTTCCCACACGGAACCAGCCTTCCACGAGCGAGAGTGTCAGAAACAACCACGGCTTCATTCGCTCATTCACTTAGTATTTATCGACCCCCTGTTGTCTACCAGACACCGCTCCAGGCATGCGGATGTGATTGACAGCAGAGCCCCATCCCGCCCAGCCCAAAATTGCAGTCAGGTTGGTGGCAGTTAATAAGCAAGCACAGTCTAGCGCTGGAGAGTAATAATGGCTGTGACGAAAGCGTGTAGGGCTGGATGGAGAAAGCGAAGGAAGGAGCCCTGGGAAGAACTGGGAGAGAAGCATCCCGGGTAGAAGCAACACCACGTGCACAAGGCCAAGGCAGGAAAGGACTTGGCAGGTTCCATGAGTGATTGGAGGGCTCTGTGGCTGCAGCCGCCCAGCATAGGGGAACCTGGTGCGAGAGAAGCCAGAAGAGGGGGCCGAGAGACACGCCAGGGAGATCCTAGGGAACAGTTTGGGGAAGGAAGGGGAGGCCAGCCCTTGGCAGTTTGCTTCCACCTTAAAGAAGATGAGCCTGCGCGGTGGCCGACGCTGCGTGTGATGCGTGCCCCCGTTCTCCACAGGCTTACAGATTCTCCCAGCTGCCGGAGATGGTCATGGGCTCCCCGCCTCCACCTGTCCCGCCCCGCACCGGTCCTGTGGCGGTCGCTTCTCTCCGACGGTAACGCCTTCCTTTCTTTGTTTTCTCTGGGATACTTGGAAATGACGTGGTCCCGAGCTGTGGGTGCTGTGAACAGCGCCTGCGGGATCCTCATGCCCCACCCTGTGCAGCATGCGTCATGCGTGTAGGCAACCTGAGGCATCAAGGAAGCGGGGACCACAGAGGGGTGACCAACCTGCCTGTGTTTCCAAATACAAAGGCCCTGAGAATCTAGTCTAAGAAGCCCAAGGTCAACTCTCCCATACCCTGACCTTGGACATCAGAAAATGACTCCAGCTCAGGCCGGCCCAAGCCTGGAGGCCTCTCCCTGTGTTTGCACACTCAGAAGTCCCCCCATTATGTAAGAGTTGTGCCTAGGAGGCCAGGTGGGACGTGTCTGGCACCCAACTCCTGACTTCCAAGAGACCGAACACTCGTGAACCAAGCTCGGGTGTGAGGCATATGGCAGACCTCCCCTGCTCTCCAGAGAGGGCACGAGCACATGTTTCTAAATAGACAGACTGGAAGCGCAGGAGCCGTGAGCGCAGGGGAAGGTTGGAACAGGCCTAGTGACAGGGTTGGGAGACCCAGCTGTGCCCTGGGGTATGAGTGGGCCCCTGCCCTGGGCCTCCCTCCCAGCCGCTGCCCCATCCCTGCACCACAGGGCTGGACTGTGCAGGTGATAAAGAAGACCCTAGTCTCACTTCCAGTGTTTAGAATGTGGGACCGTAGGCCAGCGGAGGCCAGGCTCTTGGGAAAGCAGCAGTCCAGGCACCTGCTGTGGACCCCCAGGCAAGTCCCCTTCTCTCTAGCCTCTGGCTCCATATCTGTAAAATGGGCACAGGGCCTAAAAGAACCTCAGAGGCTCTGGGATTCCTTAGAAGAGGGCCTCTGAGGACAATATGGAGCAGAATGCAAGGATTTTTCCAGGGAAGGGTTTTCCGAACAGGAGCAGAGGCCTGGAATAGCCTGAGCAGGCAGGAGAGGGAGGGAGGGAGCTGGAAAGGAGGGCAGTCTCCATGCAGAGCCGTACCACGCTGTCACACCATCACAGCCTCCATGTAGCAGCAGGAATGAGCCCCCAGCCCTCAGGGGCACCTGCTCCAGTGGCAGGAGGTCAATCATCGCAGAGCCTCTCATTGGCTGTTGACGATGTCATCACTTCCTAGGGCCAACCGTCCCCAGCTGATATCCAGCACTGATTGCTTTGTGGCCTTTATGTGGAAATTAAAAGTTTTACTACGCAGAGAGACCCAAGAGCCACCCTTAGGGGAGAACTGAGTTTGAACTTCCGAAAATGAAAATGACCCCTGCTCCGGCCGTGGTGATGGCCACGGTGACGACTGCTACAACTTGGGGCACTTCCTGTTGTGCTGGTGCCCCCAGAAGTCCATGCATTAGGTGGGGGCAGATCAGTCCTGAGCCCCCTCCCCTCGCGGGGCCTGGCGCCAGCTGCTGGGGCTGCTCCTTCTGCCCAGCCCGCTGCCTGAGGTCTGTGGACAACACTAACGCGGCCCCTCTGTCCCTCCAGGTCCACCTCCGACATTGGCAGCAAGAGCAGAATGGCCGAGTCCATGGGCCCCGAGCCGGCCCAGCTGCACGATAGTGCCTCCTTCACCCAGGTGTCCCGAGGCCCCGTGTCCGTGGCGCAGTTGGATCAGTCGGCTCTAAATTACTCAGGTGGGCAGTGCACCTGGCACCTGGGCTCCCGTCCCCCACGGCCCCGCACAGCCACCCTGCCTCCCTCAGCTGTCAAAGCTTCTGTGTTCCTGGGTCCCCTCAGTAGCCCTGAAACTGAACAAAATACCAAATCCTGCCGAAGTCTGGGTGCACATTAACATTTTGCCAGCCTTTTTGTTTTTTATCCTTAAAGACTGCAGGTACAGTTTTCTACCTCCATCTCATTCCCCTTCTCCCTAAGTCCTGGGTTCTATCTTTTGCTGAGTGTATACAGGCACTTCAGAAATTCATAGAAAGCATGTACTCAGTGGCCCTGAAAGAATTCCACGAAGAGGGAAAGTCAGGTCCCACCACAGCCACCCTCCTTGTTGCTTCATTCCCTGGAGTCTCAGCTGTCATGGCCAAGATCCCCTCTACCCTAGCTCAGCTTCATCCCCAGCAACTGTAAGAGCCCAGACGGAGCCAGCTCCCCTCAACTCAGACCTGACTTACCAGGACCTCCAGCCCAGCAGACAGCCAGGGAGCCCATGAGCCTGGTGGCTGGATCCCAGAAATCAACCTCCGCTCCTCTCCTGCACGCCAGGTAACACGGTGCCAGCGGTGTTCGCCATCCCAGCTGCCAACAGACCTGGCTTCACCGGCTACTTCATCCCCACGCCTCCCTCATCCTACAGGAACCAGGCCTGGATGTCCTATGCAGGAGAGAGTGAGCTTCCCAGCCAGTGGGCTGATTCGGTGAGACCCTAACTGATTGCTTAGTAAACTTCCAGCTGCTTGATGCATTCCCAGGAGGAAATATGATGAAGGGTGACAGCGTGCGTTTTACCCCCTGGTGCTAACATGCTAAACAGCATGGCTACAGTCCTCCATTTAAAGGAAGCGGTGTGGCAAGGCAGGGTGTCCTTTGACAAAGGCAGCTGAGGCCTGCCGGGCACCACCTCTTCCTGGTCAAGTACATTTTTCTAAGATTGGTTCCCATTTGCTGAGTGTTCCCTGTGTGCCAGAAGCCACCTGAGCTGTTTTGTTTGTCTCTGTTTCTTAATCTTCACAGCTGTTCTGTCAGGAGTTAGCACTCGTAGGAGTTCCACAATTACTCCCATTTTGCAGATGAAAAAGCTGAGGCCTGGTCTAAGCTAGGCCTCACAGCTAGGAAAATGCCAGGGTCAGAATTCAAACCTGCACCTGGCTGGCTCCAAAACTTTCATTGCCTTTGTTTCTTTTAGCTGTCAAATTCTGTCGAGTTTTAGATGAAATGCCCCAAAAAGAAGCATTAGAAAGCCCGGCTGTGGATCTTGCCTCTATGTAAATCCTAAGACTTCCTGCCTGAGTCTGGCCAAGGACTGGCTTGACCCAGTCCCCAGGTTTCTTCCTTCTTTTCAAGTCAGAACACACGGCGCAGTGGACATGGCCCAGCTTGCACCAACCTGGATGTTCACCCCCAGGCCTGCCTGCCCTGTCACCCGCCAAGGCCTCCTCTGTGAAAAACAAACCAACCCACGCAGACAAGATGAGCCTCGTGCCTGGGTGACATCTCCCGCCGTGGCCAGGAAGGCAGGCTTCCCCTGCAGGCTGAACCTGACCCCGGGCGCTGGTGATCATTGTCGGGGGTGGGCTCAGCATGGGTAATGAATCTCACAGCAGGAACCACTTTGCCAGCAAGGTTTGTCTTGGTTCTCCTCTCTGTCCAAGCCTCCACACTCTCCTCCCTGGCAGCTGCAGCTCAGCGGCAGCGTTGGCATCACTCTCAGCGTAGTGACGCCACACGTAAACGGCAGCATCGGGGCCAGGCTTTCACATATGTAGGCATGGGGGATTTCCCTCATCACCAAGGCTAAACATTTAAAAATATATGCCATCTTGAATAAAAATATTCCTGAAATTAATAAAACCCTTCCCCCCCCTTTTTTTAAGATTTATTTTATTTATTGGAAAGGCAGAGTGACACACACAGAGAGGGAGAGAGAGAGAGAGAGAGAGATCTTCCATCTACTGGTTCACCCCCAAAATGGTCACAATGGCCGTAGCAAGACAAGGCTGAAGCCAGAAGCCAAGAACTCCATCCAGGTCTCCCACATGGGTGCAGGGGCCCAGGTACTTGGACCATCTTCCACTGCTTTCCCAGGTGCATTAGCAGGGAGCTGGAACAGAAGTGGAACAGCTGAGACTCAAAGCAGCACTCTGATAGGGGATGCTGGAGTCGTAGGCAGCAGCTTAACTCACAATGCCAGCCCCCCACCGCCACGCGCCCCACTTCTTTGTAAGAAGACACAGTATCATTTAATGTGTCTTTTCTGAGTGACTCCGTGTCATTATGGTCCTCCTATCCTACGACGATGCTTGTGGGATGAGCTCTAATGTGTGTAGGACTCTTGCCCCATGGGAACGCGTCGCTAAACTACTGTGATTTTTGGAGTAACCCCGCTGGCTTGGAACATACTTTGCCATGTGGGACGTTGCTCCAGCTGGCACCTGCAGCTGCCGTCAGTGTCTTGGCTCCCAGTGAGTCCGTGCTCACCGTTAAATGTGCTTTTCCAAGCACACTATCATCTGCAGAAGAAGCAGAGCTTATTAGAGTTGTGTGCACAGCTGCAGTCAGTGAGCTCCAAGAAAGGAGCTGGAGGGCGTCCCTGCTCTTAAGTCTCTGCATCTTCATGTGGCACTTGGTGACATCTCTTTTTGTCTGTCTGGCTGGCATCTTCTGCTGTTCTAAACAGCTGCCACCACTGCGTGATCAGTGCAGAGCTTACCTGAGTCTATAACTCCACTTACAGCCTAACCACAGTGTGTAGACTTTTCAGAAAGTGGATGGTAATTGACTCCTGCTACCCAAGCCGTGAGCCTGCAGCTTGGACAGCTTGCATGCTGGGTGCAGGGTACGCCAGGTGATCTGCCGGGGGTCAGGGGAAAGTCTTTTACAAAACCTTGACCTTGCCCTCAAGACCCTTAGAAATGATCATTTCGCCAGGCCTAGTGCTACATCAGATGCCTCCGGGTTCCCACCGCCTTACAGATGTGGCCAAAGGAGCCGAGCAAGCAGAAGCTTGGCCTCCCCAGAGCCCGAGTGCAGCATTCTCAGTGTGAAGAAGAACCCGTTTCCCATCAGTTGTCTTTAATTAAGAGGAAGATGATTGCTGCAGCCTACATGGATCCTTCCTGGAGCCCAATTATCACCTGCAGTTAAGCAGGGAGGTGTGCCGGTGCGTGAAGCCAGCCAGGCAGGACAGGTGATATATCAGCACGCGAAAGACAGCGCTGGAAGCTCGGAGGGACCAGATGTGAGCTGGAGGAAGACGCCCCTTTAGAGCAGGGATAACACACCGACCCCGACCCTGCATCGAGCCAAGAAGGAAAAAGCCTCCGCCGGCATTTGCCTGTCTGCACTTGCTGGCCCCAGGATCTAAGCTGGATAAAATCACCTGGATCTGGGATGACAGTTTCATCCTTGGTGTTAGGTGGAGAAGGGGGTGGAGGAGGTGGCGCCCCAGGCTCTGCAGAAAGCTGTGTGCTGTGATCCACTGGTGATGTCTGCCATGGCACTGGCTAGGGCAGCAATGGTATTTGCCAGCCTGACTTTTGGCCAGCAGGGTGTGATGGCTGCAGCCTGCACCTCCTAGAAGGGGGTAGGGTGGGGGTGAGGGTGGGGACATTTCTCCTCTCCTCTTGCCTGCCTGTGCCCCTACTGGATATTCTGACTATGACCCTCTGCTCCTGCAGTGGGGTCAGGCGTCCCCTGGCTCTGCCCGCCACCAGCAGTGAGCTGCTTGATGCCCAGAGCTGAGGGCTCTCAGGAGCAGGACGGGGACTCAGCTGCAGCAGGGACACTTAGCTGGGTTTGAGGCGCAGGGACAGGGGATGTGGCAGCTTCCTTGGCAAATACGTGGCCCCGGGTGATGATCCCTCAGTGACTGTCAAACAGGGAGCCTCCCTACTGTGTGCTGCGCACAGTCTGAGCACTGGTGTCCAGCAATGGGTGAGACCAAGTGGCCACCTTCACGAAGCTGACGATGGCGTCAGGGAAGCCACACGGAGACACCCCAAAGGGCCCCTGGGCCAACGTCCCTGGGCTGGGAAGGGCGGCTTGGACAGAAGGAAGTTAGCGCGGGAGAGCTGAAGTACGCAGCCACGTCTCTGCCGTGGTGGTTGGTTACCGCCTGTCACCCGTGTCCCTCCCCCAGGCTTCTGAGACAGCCCAGCTCTGGCTTGACTCTGAGGTGTTCTTAGACACGGCCCTGGGAGCAGACTTCAGCCTAACAGTTGCAGTGCCATTGTCGCGTGTCGGAGCACCTGCGCGGAATCCCTGGCTCTGGCTCCTGACTCCGGCTTCCTGGGTGCGCACACCCTGGGAGGCAGCAGTGATGGCTCGAGGGATGAGGTTCCTGCAGCTCACGTGGGATCGAGTTCCCAGTTCCTGGCTTCCGCCCCGACCCGGCCCAGCCATCGTGGGTGTGTCGGGAGTGAAGCAGCAGGTGGAGCTTTCTCTGTCCCTCAGTCTCTCTCTGCCTCTCACAGGAATAAAAATTTTAAAGTAAATAAACAAGACTCCCCCTGCCCAATAGCCATCAGGTGGGTCCCAGGCCAGGCCCGCACGTGCACCTCATACACCTGCCCTCTCAGGAGAAATTATCAGAACACCTATGTGTGGCCAGTTTCGTGGCATGGCATAGCGGGTAAAGCCACCACCTGCCATGCTGGCATCCCATGTGGGCACCGGTTCGTGTCCCAGCTGCTCTACTTCCAATCAACTCCCTGATGATGCCTGAGAAAAGCAGTGGAGGATGGTCCCAGTGTTTCCGACCCTACCAGCCACGTGGGAGACCCAAATGAAGCTCCTGGCTCATGGCTTCAGCCTGTCAGCCTTGGCCATTGCAGCCATCTGGGACCTGATCCAGTATATGGAAGATTCTCCCTCCCCCTCCCCCATCTCAGGCTGGCACTGTGGCATAGAAGGTTAAGCCTCTGCTTGCAGCGCCAGCATCCATATGGGCATGGGTTCAACTCCCAGCTACTCTACTTCCTAACCAGCTCCCTGCTAATGCACCTGGGAAAGCAGCGGAGGATTGCACAAGTCCATGGGCCCATATACCCATTGGGAGATTCAAAAGAAGCTCCTGGCTCCTGGCTTCAGCTTGGCCCAGCCCTGGCCATTGCAGTGATTTGGGGAGTGAACCAACAGATGGGAGGTCTCTCTCTCTCTCTCTCTCTCTCTCTCTCTCTGTGTGTGTGTGTGTGTCTGACTTGTAAATAAATAAATCTTTAAAAAAAAAAAGCCTGTGGGGAGGATGTAGGGACTGTTCGCCTACCACACATGTCCCCCTCCAAGCTTTCTGAATCCCTAGGCACCTCTTTGCACCTGTTGCCTCCTGCCATCCCAGGTGAGAGAATTAGGAGGCGAGACCTCTGGGAGGTGGCCAGGTCCTGAGGCTGGGGCTCTCATGAGTGGGATTAGTGGTCCCAAAGAGCTCCATCACCCCCTCTGCCATGCAAAGGGTGGGGAAGAGACAGCCGCCTGCGAACCAGGAGCCAGGCCCTCACCAGACAACATGCCCACACCTCGGTCCTGCACTTCCCAGTTTCCAGAACTTTGAGAAACACATTTCTGTTGTTGATGGGATTTTGTCATAGCAGCCAGAGTGGACTAGGGCATCCGCCCTGATCCGCCCGTACCTGGGGCCCGCAGCAGCATGTCTGTTAAGAATGGGGATGGGCTGTGTTCCTCACAGGTGCGACATAGCCCAGGCCCGGGCCCCAGGGAAGCACCTAACAGGTAGCCTGGCACTGGGCACCTGCAGATCTGGCCCTGCCCGTTGGCTTACTAAGCTCCTCCCACACTGCACACACCCTCTCTGGGCAGGCCCAGCTCTCTGGACCCTCTGGGTGCTCCTGGCTGCTGCTTCTCTCTCAGCCTGGAATGCCCCTCCCACCTTGTCTTGCTGGCAGCAGCCCATTGGCCCTGGAGGCTCAGCGGAGCTGCAGGTGTGGAAGCTGCCCGACTGGGCTCGCTTGCCACCGGCGCCACGCATGCCCACTGCGGAAGGCCCTGGAACAGCAACCCCAGGGGCTTCACACACTTCAGTGGGAAAATCCATCCTATCCTAAATTCCTGTCTTTATTTCTAGAAGTTTCCATATGTTTAGGGATAGAATGGACGTCTTCCACTTCTAATGAAAACAGAAATCCATTTTTGTTTTGTTTTGTTTTTTGTTTGTTTGTTTTTTAACAGGCCCAGTGGACAGTGAGAGAGAGAGACAGAAAGAAAGGTCTTCCTTTTCCGTTGGTTCACCCTCCAATGGCCACCGCGGCCCGAGCACTGTGCTGATTCGAAGGCGGGAGCCAGGTGCTTATCCTGGTCTCCCATGGGGTGCAGGACCCAAGCACTTGGGCCATCCTCCACTGCACTCCCTGGCCACAGCAGAGAGCTGGCCTGAAAGAGGGGCAACTGGGACAGAATCCGGCACCCCGACCAGGACTAGAACCCGGTGTGCCAGCGCCGCTAGGCAGAGGATTAGCCTAGTGAGCCGCGGTGCCGGCCAGAAATCCATTTTTGAAGACATCAAGGGCACATCCCAGATCCAGGACAGAGTAGCACAGTGACCGATCCGCACCCGTGGGCGCCCAGCAGAACTGTGCAAAGCAAGTCTCCATGGGTTCTGAGCTGTGTCGCCCGAGTGAGACACCCCTCTTCACTTGAGTGCCCTCCTCTGCAGTAGAGATCTGTCTGTCCCCTGGGCTGTCACTCCAAGAATCAAGTGGGGGAAAGAGTGTGCAGAATGCCCTCAGCAAGCGCAGAGTTCAATCGGTGTTGCTTTTGTTATTAAAAATCTTCCCCTAGCCGGCGCCGTGGCTCAATAGGCTAATCCTCCACCTTGCGGCGCCGGCACACCGGGTTCTAGTCCCGGTTGGGGTGCCGGATTCTGTCCCGGTTGCCCCTCTTCCAGGCCAGCTCTCTGCTATGGCCAGGGAGTGCAGTGGAGGATGGCCCAGGTGCTTGGGCCCTGCACCCCATGGGAGACCAGGAAAAGCACCTGGCTCCTGGCTCCTGCCAGGATCAGCGCGGTGCGCCGGCTGCAGCGGCGGCCATTGGAGGGTGAACCAACGGCAAAGGAAGACCTTTCTCTCTGTCTCTCTCTCTCACTGTCCACTCTGCCTGTCAAAAAAAAAAAAAAAAAAAAAAAAAAAAAAAAAAAAATTCAAAATTAAAAAAAAAAAAAAAAAAAAATCTTCCCCTGGGCTCCTTTGGGACCTACAAAAGACACCAGAGTTCTGGCCGCTGGATTGTGCGCTTATTAACTGAGGCCGCCCAGCAGAGGCAGAGGTAGACTCAGATACATTCCTGACGTCATCAGTGGGGATTGAAGCAGGGGTTTAATTCATCGAACCAGCGCATCCAGTGGGTCCACACCGCCTGTGTTCTGTCTGTACAAAGGTCCTGGCCTCCGCCTTCCTCCCAGTCTTCTTCCTTGTCCTTGATCCTCTCCTGTTGCTAAGTATCCCACTTCCCCTAGAGTTCTGCGACGTGCGCTACTTACTAATCTCTGGCCTTCTCTTCTCTCCCACGGTGCTCTGCAGGTGCCCCTGCCAGGGTACATCGAGGCTTACCCCCGGTCCCGGTACCAGCAGGGCTCGCCCTCCCGGCTGCCTCGCCAGTACAGCCAGCCTGCAGGCATGCACCCCAGCCTGGAGCAGGCCCCGGCGCCCTCCACGGCGGCCTCGCAGCAGAGCCTGGCGGAAAACGACCCTCCCGACGCTCCCCTGACCAACATCTCCACTGCCGCCCTGGTGAAGGCCATCCGGGAGGAGGTGGCCAAGCTGGCCAAGAAACAGACGGACATGTTCGAGTTCCAGGTGTAGTGCCTCTGGCCGTGCGACGCCGGGGTTCTTGGCCTAGAGCGCTGGACTTGACCCCTGGACAGGGGTGTGAGCCTTTCTCTTGCCTTGTTTCTGACAAGGTGAACAGTCAGGTGTCTGGGAAGCAGAGGAAGCTTCGGCATGACTGGATTCTGACTGGACGTCCTCGCTGGGGACTGTGTGTCTGACGACCTGTTCCGCTGACTGTCCCAACCCTGGGTGTATTCCCCGAAGGGGCCTCCATCTCGAGGGGTTCCAGCGTCCCTGCAGATCCTTGCCCAAGGCCCATGTTAATAAGCCCCTCCTCAGTGCCCCCTGCATGTTCACTCTGTGTCTGTGTTCAAGGCGATGCAGGAGGGAGGACTGAGCCCCAGACGGCGCCCTCTGTCGTCCAGCCTCGGACCATCAGCCCTCACATCACAGCAGCTGTAACGGGGACAGGAGAGCGGAGTCCCTCTGCAGTTAAAGGTTCATACTCAAAGTCAAGGGGACTGGACGCAAAAGCAGTGCCCGCGACCGCACCTGCCAGTAGTCCTGACTCTCTCTCTCCACTGTGAGCTGAATGAAGGCTGAGAGAGAGAGAGAGAGAGAGAGAGAGAGAGAGAGAGAGAGAGAGAGAGAACGGGAATGGTGCATCTGTGCTGACAGGTTTTAAAACATCATTGTCGTTTTGGAACCGGGGCCCTGCGGCTTGCGCTCTAACTGAAAACATGGGTGCTGAGGGCTTGTAGGGGCCTCCAAGAGAGAAACACTCCTCGGTGGGAGTTTTCCTTGCCCTGCATTGCAAGCGGCCTGAGAAGGACGCCCCTCTCGGTTTGGGAAGAACAGATACATCAGCTTTCTCAAGACAGTCTCTGGCTCTTCAACCACGCGGTCCAGCATGTGCTGCCGAGGGGGCACAAAACGGAACAGCGGCTGGTTCCTCTCAGGAACAGGAGGGGTGGGTACACAGCTTCTGAATGTAGAACATCTGCCGATGTTTAAATGTAAATATCTTTGTAAAAGTGCAGGCGTCGGGCAGTTCCTCATTGGCCATGAACACAGGAGGACAGCTGTGGATGGGACCCTCCCGGGCACGGCGACTCCGCCTCCGGAGCCCGGGGGGAGGCCTTTGCCTGGTACCACCAAGGCGCCGTCTAATAACTACCCATCAGTGCAGGCAGATCAACTGCCGACTCTGCGTGGCACAGGGAAGGGGGTGTTTGGTTGTCTCTCCAATCTGGGGGGCCATGGATGGTGTTGGGGGGCTTCCGTGGTGTCTGTGGGAGAATGAGAACCTGTCCCGCCATCATCCACGAGCCATCCAGCTTCAGCTGCATCCATTCCCTTCTGAGCCCATCTTCCCATCGTCCGCATGAGTTTCTTTGGTCTTTACTGAAAGAAGAAAGTGGGAATTTAAAAGTTGACAGAAGAGTAGGTGTGGAACTGATTAGAATGGGAGAGTCAAACTGTCAGAGCACAGACTTTTCCGAGAGGCTGTTTTATTTCCCAGTGGCAAATTGCCCTTTCTGGAATGTTCCGAGATGGTGGTCAAGGAATCTTCTAAGAAATCTCTTGTTGGGATGATGTTAGGTAGGTGTCCTTTAGTATGCTGGTGGATCTTTCATAGTGGTAGTTTTTTGTTACTTTAAAAAAAATCGGCTATAAATAAAATGTATTTTTGTAATTTCCTTGTGTATATATGGTATATTTCTACCAATGGCCAGTTGTTGTAGTCCAAAACATAAGTCAGCTTGCAAAACACTGTGGCAAGTGCAAGATTTTGCTGACAGATTAACACAATGCCTGAGTCTATGCCAGTGGGCATTCGATGCACTTGAATGAACAAAGAGCCAAAGAAACTCAGCCTTTTCATGCAAATGGTTACGAGTCTGATAAAGTCAGCCACACTGTCCCACTCTAATATCAATATTTCATCAGTGTGATGATATCAACCCAGTACTTTGTCTACTTGGTAAATGCCTGGACATGCTACCTGTGACAATGAAGTTTCAAGACCTTGGTGTAATTGAAATCTATGTGCATGTTTCAAAAGACAGTGTCTGAGCCTGGGGCGTTCTGAGACTTACAGAGAGGGAGTCTCCCGTCTGTAGGCGTGTGGCTCCACTGCGTGGAGCTGCAGACCGCGGGGGGTGGGGGGTGTTTGCAGAACCCCGTGAAATGGTCCACTGAGACAGCCAAAACTGGGGCACGCTAAATCAGACACTCTTAAACCGGACAGCAGAGGTTGAAGCAAAGTATGTGGGGGGAAAACCTTAAGTTGAAAAGAAACCAGTCTGCTCCAGTGGGGAGACAGCCACCAGTGTTGGATTTTTCCATGGTTCCTCTCTAAAGAGTCTCCTGTCCTAAAGGGAGTGACAGAAACTGGACAGGTGACTGGGGAAAGGCAGGTGGTCAAAAGTGTCTCCTGGAAGGGAAACTAGAGTTATGTGGGAGCCTGAAAGAGGCAACAATGAACTCGGTGTCCAGCATGGTCCTCCAAAAGCCGCAGAGGACTCTGCGACCTGGGAGGAGGAGAAGTGGAGCGACCAGCCGGAGGACTTGGGTTCGTGTTGTCTGATTTATGACCCCTCTTGCTTCTCATGTCACCATGCTGCTGCAGGCTCGGGGGTGACATATCTTCAGCTGTCGCCCAGGAGCTTAAACAACAGGGGTCATGGAAGAAACTCCGTAATGTTCTTGCCAAGGAGAAGGATGACTGATTGAGTACATAAGGGACTTGAGGTACGGTGTCGCAGGACAATGTGTTTGTGGCATAATAAACCTTTTTTGGCACTGGTTTTGATATGAGTGTTCTGCATTCATGAGAAGGAAATATATTTAGGATGTTCCCAGAGGGGACAATCAAGGCAACGGTGTCCTTAACTCTTGGTGGTGGGCAGGACAGGGCGGCGGGGGGCGGGGGGCAGGGCCATGTGAACTCATCTCTCGGCCCCATGGATCCCCCAGAATGTCAGCGCTGTCCCGACAGCTGGTCCCTGGGAGACAGCAAATGCATTGCTCCAGGTCCAGGGTGGCATCCAGTGGTGCAGGAGCATAAAGGTCCACTGTGGGGGCTGGGACCTGTGGTCTGAGCCTTGAGCGATCCTGACATGGCCCCGGTCACCTCTGTAGCCGGATGCAATGCTCTCGGGGTCGGTTATGTAAGAATTTTCTAGTCCTGGGAGAAGTTATAAGAGTGCATTTGTTATTTTAAGAACCAAGGAAAAGGGCATGTAATTTCTCAGTAATCTTGATGTAAGAAAGGAAATTGTTTGATCAGTGATTTTAAAGAAGAAGAAAAACTTCTGAAGGAGAAGCATTGGAGTGAGGAGGTAAAGAATGGTAGTACCTAACTCAAAGAAATGCTTTTCTAACAGGCAAGAAGAGGAGAAATGAATCAAAAGACTGAAATTCTGATTACATCTAAGTGAACTTTGTATGTAATATGCTCAATAATATGGAATAAAATTACAGATATTTCAAGTTTGAGACAGGTTTTGAACTCCATCCTAAATTCCTCCAGCCACAAGCAAGAAAACGATTTGGATTTTTCTTAAAAAAAATTTAAGATACTAATTTAGCTTGGAGCAGTGCCTTCCTGGGGAGTAAATGTTGGAAACTCAGTTCTGCCTCTCAGTCCTGTCTCCCAGGCAGGCTGCTGGTTGAGTGTGCCTCCTGCACCTGATCACGTGTGGGGCTGACAGGAGTAATGCGGGTGCACTTCACAGAACAGACACCTCCCGGGGGCACAGGGATGGAAGCAGCTGCCCCCACTCACGTCCTCGCTCACCTTCTCTCCCCTTGCTGCCTTTCGTCTCTGTTTCCCTCTGCGTGCCTGCTCAATGCTCTTGCTTCCCTTGGCAACCATCTTACTCATCAGTGCACGTGTAACCGAAACCTCCATCCAGGACCCATAATCTTTCCTTGTCAAAGTGCCCCCTCCTCTGACTAGCATCTCTCTGCCCACTTGGGCAAATCCTCGAGGACCTGATTCCAGTTCATCTGCCTCTGGATCGGCCATTCTGGAACCAAGGTAGTTCCATGCTGGAACTACCAGCATGGCCTGTGGGACCGGGCTTTTGTTAGGGGCTGATACTCAAAGTGGCATGAGTGGGCAGGACCCTCAAAAGGAGCCTGTGTGGCACTTGACTTACACTCTGAGGATGTCACCCAGCAACCAGTGCTTGGGTCCTCCCTAGGGATACGGCCACAGAGAGGAAAGGGCACCCTTGGGTGTCACGTGAGGGTGCACACTCTCTAAGCGTGGGGAGAGTGGCCCCAAGCCACTGCCACTTCCCACTGCCACCAGCTAGTGCACCTGCTGCTGGGTCTCACAGGGGATTTCTGCGCGAGCCCCCATTAGCAGACAGGGAGTACTTGTAAACTGAATGGCAGGATCTTAGCGCAGGTGCTGCTAATGTGGCTCGCGGCCACACACTTGCAAGGGTGAGAAAACTGATGAGCTTCTCGATAGAATCTTTTGAAACACAATTGGTTTCGAGTGAAACTGATATTATAGCGGCTCTGACCTTCTGAGTATGATAAATTAGTGTCCTGAGAATGGCAAGCTTTCTTGATTTTTGGATGAGCTGTTAACAGAAACCAAACCTGTGAAAAATGCTAAAATTAAGGTGTTTCTAAAAAGGAATATATTGAGGAAATATAATTGTTCCAGAAACAAATGCTTTCAGAAGATGCTGAGTGGCTTTGATTCTGCAGGTTTCAAAAAAAAAAAATTAAATAGGGAGACAGGTCGTGACGTGGAAGAACTTGTCTCCAAAACTCAAAGCTAGATTTTAGTGAGAGCCACTACAGAATGAGATCCAGAAATTGGTCATTTGACTCTTGTAAATCATGGAGGGGGCCATCGATGGATTCCACGCCAGTCAACTGTGGCCCCCCCTGTTTCCCCTTACGTCTCCCTTACGTGAGAATTCACCCTCACCCCACACAGAGACTGCGCAGAGAAAGGGTTTGCACCAAAGACAGTCAGAGAGCATCGCGAGCCTGGGGATTTGGGGGAAAGTGCCGGCAGTCTAGGCCTTGAGCAGGTCTGGTTCCTCACCTGTCAGGTGGGTACTTGCGTCTCGTGGCTGTGAGGTGCACAGAGTTCAGGGAAGCTGAAAAATGGCTTGAAACGTATTTTTCTAACTCAGCAGCTTTGTTGTTCAGATTGACCCAATAAACTATTTTCGCCCCTCCCATGCGCTGAGTGAATTTGGCTTGTCACGTGGCATTGCCTAGTTTGGAATTGCCATGGCTCACCTGGAGCGGCCCAGCAGTGTGTGAGTGGAGCAGGTGCATGTACCTGTGCTCAGCTCTGCGTGGAAACCCCAGCCCGCGAGTCTGTCCAAGCACGTCAGTCACCCAGGTGGAGGACTGATGCGCAGCTTTGGGTGTAGCTGTTGTTCTTCGAGGGCTTTGCTGTTTAATTAACTCTGTGTGTCCTCTGCCAGGAACATAGCAATCACACGCAATTTGAGTTTTGTATTGTAAAACAAAATGACAAAGGCTTTCGTGCCCTGAGTCTCGTTCTGGCTCCTCCCGTTGGTGGGATGGGGTCTGTCTCACAATCCAGCTACAAGACAGGCCCTGCTGAGGGTGCTACAGAAAGCTGCAGACCTGGTAGACCCAGCGTGTAGCCTCAGAAGACATCCCAGCCTGGGCCAGGAGTTCCTGAGTCCAGCAAAGCTCACCCCCAAGCCCCAGAACAGCAGATGGAGCCCGCTCATGACGTGGCCACTAAAGAAAGATGATTCCTGGGGCTGCTGCAAAGTAGTGGCCCCCCCAAGGGGTGACAATGCAACGGGTCACACGCTCCAGACAGCACCCCCAACCCCACCCTGTGCTAGTCCCCCGCAGCCACGATGCCGGCCATGGGCTCAGCCCTGTCCAGAAACCACGTGTTGTGCTGGCCGCTCTGCCCTCGGAGACCCATTCATTAGACAGTACAGACCTGGACCAGGAGCCGCAACTTACAGGTTGAGCGTGGCCAGCATACAGGTGAGATTCTCAGTCTAGGAAACACCAAGAACTGGGTCTATCTGCAGTGACAGCTGAAACTTAAAGGAGCTAAGCTGGACTAATTCAAAGGTCCAAGAAGGCAGAATTTGCAGTAAGAAGTGGCCTTGTGCCTCAGGCTGTTTAGAGGAGAGGGAGGAAAGACGGTCTGGTAACAAAAAGCCAACTCTGAGTGTGGTGGAGAGTCTTGCTCCCCAGTGGCGAGTCACAACCCTGGGCTTTCACGGATGTCTCGAGACGTGGGTCACTTAGGCAGCAGCACAGGGCTGCCTCTCACTGAGCCTGACTCTCCAATGTTTTGGAAGTACTTAGAAAGTCACTTTGAGTTCTGGTTACTCTGCTTCTGTTCCGGCTTCCTGCAAATGCATCTCTTCTCAGATGCAGCAGAATATGGTCCAAATCCTTGGGTCGCTGCCACCTGTGTGGGAGGCCTGGATGGAGTTCCTGGTTCCTGGCTTCAGCCAGGTCCAGCCCCAGCCATTGCAGCCATTGGGGGGTGAACCAGCAGTTGGAAGATCTCTCTCTCTCCCTCTCCCTCTCTGTCACTCTGCCTTTCAAATAAATAAATGCATCTTTTTTTTTTCAAAAAATAAAATATTTAAGGATTGAATAGCAAATTTTCCTCCTGTCTCTGCTTCTCTGTAAAGAGGGTGCAAATGTGCGTCAAAGACACCATGATTTGCTATTTAGGGATAAAACAGACAATGTAGTTATCCTGGAGTGGGGGTGTTGAGATTACAACTCTGATGAACGTGTTTGTACTTACTTTAGAGTTCAGGATTATTTCTATTTTTTATCACATGTGAGGTGAGAGTGTTATAAGGTTTTTATTCCAAGACCTTGCCCCGACATGAGAGAAGAATTCCAAGCGGGCACTAAGTAAGGTGCACAGATGAGAGCAGGATTTACAGAAGGTGAGAGAGTGAGCACATTGAACGTGAGTGTGGGCAGCCCGTGAGGGGAGATACCCGCCCTGCGAGGGCCAGAGAGGTGCACGGGAGAAGACAAGAGGGGCCAAAAAGGGAGTGCCCCCCGACGCAAACTGTCCCCATTATGGGGCACAGGGTGGTGCCCTAATTGAATGTACAACTAGGCTGGGGCTTAGTGTGTGTGAGGTTTTCTGGAAGCTTCATGGCGTCTCCGTGTGGAGCTGAGCTCACACATGTTCATCATGGTGTCTCCTCCTTCCTGTCTCGGATGACAACAGGTGCATCATGGGGCAGCGGGCACACGGGCTCGCCCTGTAGGGGAGTGGAGTCGCTGTGCGAGACTGCAGAGAGAGAAGCTGTAAGAACATCTCCCAGCTCGTTTCCTCCAGTCTGACTCCCTCCCTGCCTAGTTCCCCATATCAACAGGACACTAAAATCTTTTCAGCTTGGGGCTGGAAGTGTTTTAGTCTAGCTCTGCATCTAGGTCATGACCACGGTGATCACACTTGAAAGGATCCCATTTGGGGCCATCCAGGCCGAGGTTTGAAGCATGCGTTCACCACATTCTAGCTGGGTGTCTTTGGGCAACTCATGTCCCTTCTCTGAGCCTTACCTGTGAAGAGTAGACCTTCACAGGTAGTAGATGCAGTAATAAGAGGGAAAAGAGAGAGCGCACAGTTTATAAGTGCTGGGCACTCTACAAACTCTACAAGCAACATCAGTTCTTGTCATTTATGTAACCTCCACTTACATCCTTCTCACAATGGGGGACTCACTATCTTGCCAGAGCCAATGCATCACCTGTTGATCACCCAGTAGGAGCGACCCCTGGACTCAACCCCCTGCAACCTGCAGACAAAGGACAACCTTCCTTTTCAACAGCCCAGCACTCCCATAAATCCTCAGGGCAGAAGGCAAGCTCAGGAGACCTGGGAAGAGGCGAATGGTGATGGGAAAAGGACAGCCCTTCACCCCCTGGCCAAGGGAGACCATTTGGAACCAGCTGGAGGTATGCCCCATAGCTTCCACCTACTCTTTTGGTTACAGTTATGACTCAGCCCCAGAATCACTCTTGTGACAAGAACTGGGTCCCAGCAGCCCTGTAAAACACCTGGGCTTGCTGTGTTTACAGATGCAGCAGTAAGAACAGCCACTCTATGAGAATACCTTGGCCTTCATGCCCAGGATCATACAAGTGGTAAGCCAGGGAGAAACAAGATTCTACCGGTAAGAGCGGCCGTGCAGTCCAGACTCCCGGGGGCTGTGATCCCTGGCCCTGCAATGGGTCTCCAGATCAGCTGGCAGGTGGGCTACAGGTCAGAAACTGGTTGCCAAAAAATGAGCTTGGGTCTTAGGCCCCGGGCTCCGGAACGCTCAGCCCATGTGCATCCAGGCGCCTCCCCGCACAGTGGGGACCGGAGCCATCTTCCCCTGGCTAGGGGCTGTGTGTAGTGACGGGAGTGCCAGCCTGACCCACTGGCGCTTGATGGCATCGGGGGCTGGGTGATGGAAGGGCTTGGGAGAAACTCCGAGGGTTTCTGAACCCCGCTGGCCTCTCCTGTGCTCAGACCAGGACGCCTTGCAGGGCTCTGACTGGCCCCACAGGACGGTTGCATTAAGCATCTTCGCTCTGCTCTTAGGGAGGGTATGGTAGACGATTCAGGGGAACACACCACCCTGCGGCAGATCACACGGCCTGCCAAAGACCCAGTGCAGGCAGGCATCCGCGAGTACGCACACGCACGCTCTACAGCCCGTGATGGACAAGTGGGCCTGTCCCGATTGTCCTGTGCCTCTCCCCAAGTCACCTCCAGGACTTCCACAGAGGACCAAGCGGCCTCCCAGAGTCTTGGGGCAGGGGACAGGCTTACCTACCCACTGTGTCACCTAGGTGGTGGCTTGGCTCCTGGGAGCCCCCGTCTCTGTTTTTGTTTGTTTATTTAAAGATTTATTTATTTAAAGATTTATTTATTTATTTGAAAGAGTTAGAGAGAGGCAGAGGCAGAGAGAGAGAAGTCTTCTATCTGCTGGTTCACTCCCCAGGTGGCCGCAAGGGCCAGGGCTGGGCCGATCCAAAACCAGGAGCCAGGAGCCTCCTCCTGGTCTCCCATGCAGGTGCAGGGGCCCAAGTACTTGGACCATCCTCCACTGCCTTCCCAGGCCATAGCAGAGAGTTTGATTGGAAGTGTAGCAGCCAGGACTCGAACTGGTGCCCATACAGGATGCCAGCAGCTTTACCTACTACACCACAGCGCCGGGCCACAGTCTCTTTGTTTTTAAAGAGATGCTGGTTTTTTTTTCAATCTGTCCCTACAACAACAGTCGGCTCTGGAACCCAAGCCTGCCTTAAACCGCACGTTGTCCTCTGGGTAGACTCAGCATAGTCTCATCAGTTAAACCAGGCAGGGAGATGCAGATCCATGCCTCTCTCTAGATCCGAGCTGTCGGGACGGTAGCCACTAACCCCATGCAGTTACTGAGACCCTCTCTGCCATGTGAGGGCACAGCGGGAAGGCAGCCACCTCAAACCAGCAGGAGTCCTCAGCAGGAGCCCGAGCAGCCTGCACCTTCATCTCAGACTTCTCAGCTCCCACAACTGCAAGAGACAAATGTCTGTATCGAAGCCACACACTCCACGGCATTTTGTGATAGCAGCCCAGGCAGATGGATGCTGAGTCAGGGAGGTTAGCCCAGCTTCTTTTTATTCGTGTGAACTGGACTTGTCACCTTGAAACCAACTCTGAAAAGAACAGATCTTCCCAGGCAAGTGGCAAGCGGCTCTCGGCAGGCAGGCAGGCACCTGCAGCCCATGGCGAAAGCCCGGGCTTGCACCTGTGTTTATTTTTGCAATGACTGCCTTCAGCGGTGGCTGTGTCTCCTCCTCTGCGAAGCTTTCCAGATCGCGGGTAATACTGGGCAACCTGACAAATGTCAGCCTGGAAGGGAGAGGACTGGAGCGGGAAGAGGGAGGTGGTGCCCCACTTCTGAATCCATGCCGCCACCTAGCGGGGCCCACCATGTAGGCAAACCCACAGCAGCGAAGATGATGAGGGTGAGCACCTGCTCTGAGCCACCCCGCGGCCCCGCGTTATCTCCTGGAACAGAAAAGGCAGTGGCCCCCAGGCAGGAGGAGGCAGCGTGCCTGGGTCCGGATAAGAAAAGGGGCGTGGAAGCCTAAAAGCCTGTTTTATTGAAAGAGCCACTGGCTGATGAACCAGTGAGCGAATGCATGCAGGCTGCGTCTACGTGCTTTGTTGTCAAGGTTACAGACTGGACACTGACTATCTCTGAGATGAGAGTGTGACCCTGGCTGAATCTGCCGTGGCCAGCTGGAGTACTGACGTGTATGGAGGCTTTGCTTTGTGCGAGGCATTGTCCTGAGTGCTTCGTGCACGTGAACTTACCCCTCCTAGCAACCCGGAAAGTGGGGGCACAGAAGGGCCAAGTAGTTTGCCCAAAGTCACACAGCTGGTGTGTGCTGGGATTCCAACCCGGGCAGTCGGGCTGCAGAGCCAGCAATCTTAATTTGTTTATGTTATGCTCATTGATTTGAAAGCACAGTAGCAGAGAGAGAGAGAGAGAGCTTCCATCTGCCGACTTACTCCCCAAATGCCCTCAATAACCAGGGCTGGGCCAGATTGAAACCAGAAGCCAAGAACTCCATCCAGGTCTGCCTGGGTGGTGAGTTTGGGTGGCAGGAACCCAAGTACTTGAGCTACCATTCACTGACTCCCAGGCACGCTGGCAGGAGCCAGATAGGAAGGGCAGAGTGGCTGGGACTTAAACCAGGCACTCCAATAATGGGGTGTGGGTGTCCCAAGCGGTGGCCTAACCTTCCACGTCAGAATGCCAGCCCGCAGAGCCAGACATGTTAATCACTATGTTATATGCTGCTATGCAGATGGAAAGAGATAGCTAAGCCTTGTCTCTGAATCTCAGTGAAGAACTCAGGGCACGGTCGGTGCCGTGGCTCAATAGGCTAATCCTCTGCCTTGCAGCGCCGGCACACCAGGTTCTAGTCCCGGTCGGGG